TGTGTGTGTTTAGGTGTGTGTCTGTGTGTGTCACTGTGTGTGTGTGTGTGTGTTTAGGTGTGTGTCTGTGTGTGTCACTGTGTGTGTGTGTTTAGGTGTGTGTCTGTGTGTGTCACTGTGTGTGTGTGTTTAGGTGTGTGTCTGTGTGTGTCACTGTGTGTGTGTTGGTTATTAAATGCCACCACAGGCACTGATCCACAGCCATTTGCCTTCTGTCTGCTCTTTTTACGATGTGTGTTTGTGTATCATTGTGTGTGTGTGTGTGTGTGTGTGTGTCTAGGAGGATGTAGCCAGATGTGACAGCTCATATGTCGACAGTTGTGTTGACAGGAAACTAATTTGTTTTTCTCTAACAGGAGACAAAGATCGACTGTGTTCGAGTGGCCACTAAAGGTGAGACACCACTTTTATTTTGGAAGGTTTTCTCTTCCTGTTAGAATTCTAAAATATTCAGTCATAAAAATTGTTTTTAAAAGTTTATTTGCATTAATTATTTCTCAGTATCTGACAGGATATCCAGTTTAAAATGGTGTCAGGTATAGTTTTATTTTGAAAGTAGCTGAAAGCTTAAAATAAAAAAATGTTTCTGGGTCTTTTTCCAGGTAGATCTCATGAGTTTATATTTAATAGTCAAGTCTATATTTTTATTGTTAAAGGTCAAATTTAGTATTTTTAATGTTTTAATCTGTGTCCTTTATTACTTTTGTTTAGTTTCCAAACAGACCTTGAAATTTTACTTTGAAAAGTCTTCCATAGTAATACTTTTAGAATAGATATTGCTTAATTAATGTAACCTTCCTTCCATCCATCATCTTCTGCTTGTTCTGAAATCGGGGGCAGCAGCTTGAGCAGGGAGGTCCAGGCATCACTTTCCACAGTCACCTCCTCCAGGTCTTCTGGAAGGACTCCAACATGTTCCCAGGCCAACTGAGAGACCCCGGGGTCTCCTTCCAGTTGGACATGCCCAAAGCACCTCCCTAGGAAGGCGCCATGGGAGCATCCTTACCAGATGCCCGAACCACCCCAACTCACTCCTCTCAATGTGGAGGAGCAGTGGTTCTACTCCGAGTCTGTCCTGATAACTGAACTTCTCACCCTGTCTCTAAGGGAGAGTCCAGCTCCTGCAGAGGAAACTCATTTCAACCTCCTGGATCCACGATCTCATTCTTTCAGTCTCTACCAGAGTTCATGACCAGAGGTGAGGGGAGGAACTTAGACTGACCGGTAAACAGGGAGCTTTGTCTTACAGCTCAACTCCCTCCACCACAAATGACCAGTACAGAGTCTGCAATACTGCAGACTCTGCACCAATCTGTCAATCTCATGCTCCATTCTTCTCTCATGAACAAAACTCTGAAATACTTGAACTCCTCCACTTGAGGCAGAACCCTGCCCTCAACCTGGAGAGCAATCCACCCTTTTCCAGTTGAGGACCATGGCCTCAGATTTGGAGGTGCTGATTCCCAGCCGCTTCACAGTCAGCTGCTAACCGCACCACTGAGAGCTGAAGATCACGGCACGATGACACCAACAAGACCGCATCATCTGCAAAGAGCAGAGATGAATCCTGAGGACACCGAACCAGAATCCTTCTGCCTCCTGGCTGCACCAAGAAAATCTGTCTATAAAAAATATTAACAGAATCAATGACGACAGGCAGCCCTGGTGGAGTCCAACTCCCACCTTGAAGGGGTCCGACTTACTACCGGCAATGCGAACCAAACTCTCACACTGCTTGTATAGGGACCAAACAGCCTGTAGCAACGGGCCCCCAATCCCATACTCAAGGAGCACCCCCCACAGTGTGCCCCGAGGAACACAGTTGAAAACTTTCTCAAAGTCTACAAAGCGCATGTAAACAGGATGGCCAAACCCCCATGATCCCTCAAGGACCCTAGTGAGGGTAAAGAGCTGGTCTATTGTTCAACGGCCAGGATGGAACCCGCATTGTTCCTCCTGGATCTGAGGTTCAACCAATGATCAGACTCGCTTATCCAGTACCCCTGAATAGACCGTACCTGGGAGGCTAAGGAGAGCTCTGCCGCTGTGGAGCTTTTTAACTACCTCAGTGACCTCAGCCACGGTTACGAACAGACCAACCCCAAAGTCCCCTGACTCTGCTTTCTCCATGGAAGACATGCCAGTGGGATTGAGAAGGTCCGAGAAGTATTCCTTCTACCTCCCGATGACATCACTGGTTGAGGTCAACAGCACTCCACTTTCACTGAACACGGTGTTAGTAAAGTGCTGCTTTCCCCTCCTCAGCCACCTGATGGTTTCCAGAATCTCCTTGGAGTTGACCAAGAGTCATTATCCAGGGTCTCACCGAACTCCTCCCATATCCGAGGCTGCGGACCGCTTGGCCCTCTGTTGGTCAATTAATTTCTAGGACACAACCAGCAATCTGTTGCTGCCCATATCAGAAAGTTAGATCAAAACAACTGCAGGTCCACAGTTAGCCTTTAGTAATATTTACAAACGTTCTTATAGTAGCAACAAAGTCCATGCTCAATAATCCAGGTATACAATACAACATTTTTCAGTCAGGTCATCTGGACAGTTTCTTTTTTTGTTTCAGCTCAAAAAAAGAAACTGTCCAGATGACTTGACTGAAAAATGTTGGGTTCTTACTGCAGCTTCATGTACCTCGCTGTAGCTCCATATAGCTTCCTGTAGCTCCATATAGCTTCCTGCAGCTTCATGTACCTCCCTGCAGCTTCATGTACCTCCCTGTATCTCCATATAGCTTCCTGCAGCTTCATGTACCTCCCTGCAGCTTCATGTACCTCCCTGTAGCTCCATATAGCTTCCTGCAGCTTCATGTACCTCGCTGTAGCTCCATATAGCTTCCTGCAGCTTCATGTACCTCGCTGTAGCTCCATATAGCTTCCTGCAGCTTCATGTACCTCCCTGTAGCTCCATATAGCTTCCTGTAGCTTCATGTACCTCGCTGTAGCTCCATATAGCTTCCTGCAGCTTCCTGCAGATTCATGTAGCTTCACGTAGCTTCCTGCAGCTTCATGTACCTCCCTGTAGCTCCATATAGCTTCCTGCTGCTTCCTGCAGCTTCCTGCAGCTTCATGTAGCTTCACGTAGCTTCCTGCAGCTTCATGTACCTCCTTGTAGCTTCATGTACCTCCCTCTAACCTCAAATAGCTTCCTGTAGCTACATATAGCTTCTTGTAGCTTCATATAGCGTCTTGTAGTTTCATATAGCTTCTTGTAGTTTCAGATACCTCCTTGTAGCTTCATATAGCTTCCTGCAGCTTTATATAGCTTCCTGCAGCTTCATGTAGCTTCACATAGCTTCCTGCAGCTTCCTGCAGCTTCACATAGCTTCTTGTAGCTTCATATAGCTTCTTATAGCTTCATATAGCTTCCTGCAGCTTCATATAGATTCATGTAGCTTCCTGTAGCTTCATATAGATTCTTGTAGCTTCATATAGCTTCCTGTAGCTTCATGTAGCTTCCTGCAGCTTTATATAGCTTCCTGCAGCTTTATATAGCTTCCTCCAGCTTTATATAGCTTCCTGCAGCTTTATATAGCTTCCTGCAGCTTCATATAGCTTCCTGCAGCTTTATATAGCTTCCTGCAGCTTCATGTAGCTTCCTGCAGCTTTATATAGCTTCCTGCAGCTTTATATAGCTTC